CCACTCCTGGGCATATATCTGGAGGAAACTGTAATCTGGAAAGATACATGCCCCGCAATGTTCACTGCAGCACTATTTATAATAGCTAGGACATGGAAGCAACCTAAATGTCCATTGACCTAGGAGTGGATAAAGAAGATTTGGTTCACAGATAACTAACAAGAACCTGCTTTATAACACAAGGAACTCTACTCAATACTCTGTAACAGTCTATATGGGAAAATAATCATTAAAAAAGGATGAACATATGTATATGTATAACTGATACTTCTCTGGATACCTGAAACTAATGCAACATTAAAAATAAACTATACTTCAAATTTTTTTAAAAAAAGATTTGGTACATATATACAAAGGACTATTAGTCAGGCATAAAAAAAGAATAAAATAATGCAATTTGTAGCAATTTGGATGGATCTAGAGATTATCATACTAAGTGAAGTAAGTCAAAGGCAAATGTCATGATATCACTCATATATGGAGTATAATTTTTTAAATGATACAAATTAACTTAGTTGCAAAACAGAAACAGACTTACAATATTCTTACCAACACACTTTCAATATTGAAAACAAATTATGGTTACCAGAGGGAAAACATGGGGGTGAAAGACAAATCAGGAGATAGGGATGAACACACACACACCACTACTATATATAAGGTAGACAACCAACAGTGACCTACTGCATAGCACAGGGATGTCTATTCAAAATTCTGTAGCAATCTGTATGAGAAAAAAATCTAATAATGAATAAATGTATGTGTACAACTTATGTCACTCTGCTATACACCTGACACTAACACAATATTGTAAATCAACTATATTACAATAAAATATATAAACAACAGCAAAAAACAAATCAGATGTAAAGCAAAAAACAAAACAAACAAAAAATGAGCATGGTACTAATCTATTCAAACAATTTTCTTTTTTATCAGATTAGTAATCTAGGTCACTTGAGGTCTAATGAAGATGTTCATAGAAATGTGAGTTTTATAAATGAAGAGAATAGAGAAGATTTGAAATTGAAATATCATAATAGGGAGGTAACAGTTGGAAATAAACGAACTATTGCATATTAAAAATAGATAAATGCAAGACCTATGGATTTCATAGACAAGACATATTGGGTACAGGCCATTATGGAAAGTATTGACAAACTACAACTATGTAATTAAAATGAAGCACTTGTAATCCTCTGAAGAAAAACTGTAGAGGATATCCAAATAGAAGTCATATACTTGAAGAAATCTGCAATGTGTATGACTAGCACTAATGTTTTGATTATGTAAATAACTCATGTGAATGAGTGAGAAAAGGATAAACAACTCAGTAGATGTATCATTTTAGACATTTAACAGAAAGGATGATCAAAAGACTCTCAACCATGTATTAATAAGAGATATGCCACTTGAAGAAATAGTTTTTACACCCAGTAAGTTGTTACTATAAATGAAAAGTGTTGATGATGATATGGATCCCCTCTCTCATTCTACCAAGAAATATTAAAAAAAAACCCTCAGATTTACTCATAACGGCAGAAACCTAGCTACAAAAACTAATAGTTATTTATGTTATTATGTTACTCAGATCAGAAGAAAAAGGCTGATAAATATTACAAGAAAGCAAACAAAATTTCCATCAGTATCATAAAGGGTATCTATTTTGTAGTCATCAAACAATGTAGATATACAGAATATTGGAAATAATCAGTTACTAACGTATCCCAAAGCACAATGAAATCTCCAAAGTGCAATAGGAGAAAAACAATAACAATGGCATTGCTTATTTTAAATTTCAGGTCAGTTACATGCTTTTTATTATGTTACTACTTTTGCAGAACAGCACATGCCCCTTGGGGCTTCCCTGGTGGCTGGTAAAGAGTCTGTTTGCAATGCAGAAGACATAGGAGATGCAGGTTCAATCCCTGGGTGGGGAAGATCCCCTGGAGAAGGGAATGGCAATCCACTCCAGTATTCTTGTCTGGAGAATCCCATGGATAGAGGAGCCTGGTAGGCTACAGCCCATAGAGTCGCAAAGAGTGGACACGACTGAGGCGACTTAGCAGGCACGCACATACGCCCACCTCTGAAGTTCAAAATCGGTGGTTCTTGCTGGAGGTCAGGGATACCTCAGTATGAACAAAGGTCTCAGGTAATTAATTTCTGCAGCTGTTCTAATGACAACAATGGAGGAACCTCTGCGCTGGAGTGAACAGGAGTGCCCGCCAGGGAGCTGTTCCCTAGATTCGGTGCTTAAAATAAAACCACCTCTCACTTTTCAGTGACTAGAAGGTTCTTCATCCACACCCTTGATTCTCCCTTGACAGCTCCACTGTTTTCACCAGCTCAACACAGAAGTGATTCTGATTGATGACCATACATTTTTGTGCTTCTGGGGAAACTGATCCAGCTAATCTTGTCCACTTCCCTTTTTCCTTGTCTTACTCTCAGCACTTCTCTGTCAAATGAAAGTAGTTCTCCATAGAACAGCTCTCTTCAGAAAGACACATTAAAAAGTTTTCCATGAGGGACTTCCCTGGCAGTCCAATAGTTAACAATCTACCTCCCAATGCAGGGGACTCAGGTTCAATCCCTGGTTGGGAAAACAGATTCCACATGCCTTGGGTAACTAAACCTGCCCACTGCCCCATGCACCACAACTAGAGAAAAGCCCATACACTGCAATGAACAGCCTGCACACGTCAACGAAGACCCAGCATAGCCAAAAAAAAAAAAAATAAATAACTTTTCCACTACAGTCCTAAGATTACACCCAATTGCTAGGACTTTCATGATACAATTGATTTTATTTTAGGATGCTTCTGTGTGGACTCCACCAGAAATATGTAAGAAACATAATGATATAAGATGGCTAAGGAGAGAAGTGAAAATTCAGGTACATTCTTGTAAATAAGCCAATGAGAAAGAATGTTTCAAAGCAAATAAGATGCCAGAGGAAAATTACCAACATTTGTCTTGCCTGACTAATAATTATTTATTTTTATTATGTATTTTATTATATTACACAGACTAGAAGAAAAAGGCTGATAAATATAATAATAGAAGAAAGCAAATCAAATTTTAAAGCAAGTGGAGAAATACATGGGGTCAATAACATAATATAAGACTCAAGGTTAGAGGAAATTTGTGGAACACGATAATACTGTTAAATTTTACTAGGGCATTGGTCTAAGTATTTATAGTCCTTATGGAGATTAACTTTGCAGGAATAATTGCACTCAGGTTGCTCAGTAGTAAAGAATCTGCCTGCCAATGCAGGAGACACCGGAGACTCAAGTTTTGATCCCTGGGTTGGGAAGACCCCCTGGAGTAAGAGATGACAACTGGCACCAGTATTCTTGCCTGGAAAATTCCACGGACAGAGGAGTCTGTCAGGTTATAGAGTTGGACACCACTGAGTGACTGAGCATACACACACGATAAGTATAAGGCTTTCACAGTAATCATTTGTTCTTTATCCGGAACTGGATTAAGTCAGTGGCATATGATCCTATTCTCAGTGATAGGATTGAAGGTAATATCTTACGGATGATGCAGGGGAAACATCTATTGTTAATAGACCTCAATTAACAACAGACCCAGAGAAGGACAGTTGATTGTACTGGCCTCTGGGATTCATATCTAGATATGACGGCTGCGTCTGATTCAGCCATCTGAGTCCATGAGGGGAGTCAGTCCTGGGTTGAAGGTACTTCATGGAGGGATGAATGAATCTCTGCTCTCCCACTCCTGCACATTCTGTACCTCTGAAATCCTTGTAATGAGGATAACTATCTTCATTGTTTGTACATATTAGAGGAAGGATATCTTAACCTTATTAGAAAGGATTCCTCATTAAACAATTTCAAATATCATGCTATCATTTCAAACCACAGTGATAATCTAATCATAAATTTTTATAGATGATGAAGTTGAGTGTTGTGGATGTTAATGTTGCCTCACATATGTCTGATTACCAGTGAGTGACCAGTCTTAAGAATTCCTGAACTGTGGTAAGAAAGATCAGCCGTCATGTCTCAAGCAGGCTTAACTCTGGGGTGCAACTCACATGGTGCAATCCACATTTCTACCTCTGTATGACCACAGACTTCTTTAAACCTTGACCTATCCAACTTTTCCCACTTCTCTTGTGCTGAGAACATTCCACCCAAAATTATCATACTGAGAAGATCTGCCTCAGATTCAGCTTCTGTTTGCTATAACAAAAAACCTTAGAGAAAGGTAATCTGTGGCAAACATCACAGAGCTAGAGACTTCCCTGGTGGTCCAGTGGCTACGCCATGCTCCCAATGCAAGGGACCCAAGTTTGATCTCTGGTCAAGGAACTGGATCCCACTTTCTGCAACTAACAGTTCACATGTTGCAGCTAAAGACTTCGTACGCAGCTAAAGACTTCAAGAGAACAGCATCAAAACATGTATATTATCAAGGGTGAAACAGATCACCAGCCCAGGTTGGATGCATGAGACAAGTGCTCGGGCCTGGTGCACTGGGAAGACCCAGAGGGATTGGGTTGAGAGGGAGGTGGGAGGGCGGACCGGGATGGGGAATACATGTAAATCCATGGCTAATTCATGTCAATGTATGACAAAAACCACTGCAATGTTGTAAAGTAATTAGCCTCCAACTAATAAAAATAAATGAAAAAAAAAATAAAACACAAGAATCAAAAAAAAAAAAAAAAGACTTCGTATGCCACAACTAAGACCTTGCACAGCCAAATAATTTTTTTAAAAAAAGAAAAAACCACAGAGCTAGAAAAACAACAAGTCAGGCTTCAATGCTAAGTTAAAATGTACTTGGCCTTCATGTTATCTATTCAGTTAAGAATTTGGTAACACAACATTGCAAATCAACTATACTTCAATAAAATAAAATAAAAAACTTGGTGATGAAAGTGTCAGGCAGAGTAGTTCATTCATATTATTTTAATTTTGATTCATTCTAGAGTACCCAGCCAAAATCAGGAGATACAATCACAGTAAAGATATTCTTCCAAAGAGCTTCCTCAAGGCTCCCTTCATGTCTTTGTTCCTCAGGCTGTAGATGAAGGGGTTCATCATGGGAGTGACCACAGTGTACATCATGGAAGCCACTGCAATCTTCCTAGAAGAGTCAGTAACTGCAGAACTAATATACACCCCAAAAGCTGTCCCATAGAACAAGGACACGACTGAGAGGTGAGACCCACAAGTGGAAAAAGCTTTGTACTTTCTGCTTGATGATGGCATTCTCAGAATGGAAGAAACAATTTGAATATAAGAGAAAATGATTCCAAAAAGAGGGATGCCACCAAATACACCAGCTGCTAAATATATCAGGATGTTATTGATGAGGGTGTCAGAACATGCAAGTTTGATGACCTGAACAACTTCACAGAAGAAGAGGGGGATTTCCAGGTCTGTGCAGAAGGACAGTCGCAACACCATTAGACCGTGGAGCAGGGCGTCCGCAGTGCTGATGAACAAGGAGAGTAGAATCAGCTGAATACAGAGGCGAGGGTTCATGATGACTGTGTATCTCAGTGGGTGACAAATAGCCACATAGCGGTCATAGGCCATTACTAAAAGGAGAAAATTTTCCCACAAAACAAAAGTCAGGGCAAAGCAGATCTGGGTGATACAACCTGTAAAAGTGATGCTCTGACTCTGTGCTTGGATGTTCACCAGGATCTTTGGGATCATGGATGTGCTTAAACAGATGTCTGTAAAGGAGAGATGGGAGAGGAAGTAGTACATGGGGGTGTGCAGGTGGGAGTCAGAGATGACAGCCAGGATGATGAGCAGGTTTCCCAAGACAGTGACCAGGTACATGGACAGGAACAGGCTGAAGAAGGTGATCTTCAGTTCTGGGTCCTCTGACAGTCTCATAAGACGGAATTCTGAAACATCTGTGTGGTTTCTGGGTTCCATGCTGTTGATGAGTCTGATTAAAAAGATATGATAACCAGGAAACTTCCCTGGTGATTCAGTGGCTAAGACCCCACAGTCCCAATGCAAGGCGATTGGGTTCAATCCCTTGTCAGGGAACTAGATCCCACAACTAAAAGATTCTGCGTGCCACAACTAAGACCCGGTGTAGCCAAATAAATATTCTTTTAAAAAGACGTGGTAAACAGACAATGAAATATATAGTCCCTGAAGAAGAATCAGGGGTATCGAAAGAGGTAAATGCCACTTGGGGAATGGAAGGAGACAAACTGAGGGAACAAAAAAGGAATGCCTTCTTTATGCATTTTTATTCCTGGGTTCCTTTTAAAAAAATGATGTGGATATTTCATAGCACAAACAATTAATTCTAGAAAGTTTTAAGACTTGGTTGTATTTTTAAGTTATACTATCTGTGCTCTTCTGATTATTAAAAACATTTGGTGACTCTATAAAGAGGAACAATAGGCTAGGGAGGCAGTGAAGATTCTATGTAAGCAGCAACTTCAGTACCATGCATCAGAAATAATACAAAGATATATCAAGAAACAGGAACGATCAGGTGAACTTACCAACCTTTCTGCCCACCCACATCATCACAGGAACACAGAGAAATGTCAGAAAAAAAAATAAAAGTCACCTTATTTGATGTAGGGAATAAACCAATAGACAATAGATACCAAGGGGGGAAAGGAAATGGGATTAATTGGGAGATAAGGATTGACATATATACACCACTATGCATAAAATACATAACTAATACAAACCTACTATATAGCACAAAGAACCCTACTTAATGCTCTGTGGTAACCTAAATGGAAAAGAAATCTAAAAAAGAGGGGACCGCTTTTTCATCGGTATATCTGTAACTGATTTGCTTTGCTGAACATCAGAAACCAATACAACATGGTAAAACAACTATGCTCCAATAAAAATTAATTAAAAAAATTACACTTTAGTTTAAAAAATCTGAAAAAAAAGTCACCCTGTTGTAGAACAAGCAGATTTCTACTCAGGAAGAAAAGCTCAAGGTCACAGCAAAGAATATGGTGTCAGTAAAACAGATGTTTACAAGTATGGGTACAAAATGCAAAAAAAAGAGTGTGAAGATGACATACGTTAGGCAGAGACTGGGTTCTAGCCATCTGATGTAGGTACTGTCTTCACAGCCTTCCCTGGATAAACCTGTACCAAAATATTTGCCCTCATTTCCAAACATTCACAAAGGGATGTCACCTGTGATACCTGGCTGGGATGACAAAAGAAGAGGCTTGACACCTCTGATGTACCATAGAGAAGAGCTGTCCTTAGCAGGAGCAAAACGTCTGAGTGAGTCACCGTGTCCTGGGCAGGGGGACTCCTTTACGAGAGGGGTCTCAGTCGCGCTTCTTCCTTCCTGAGAAAGACGGCTGACTGAGGTGGTCACAAGCATATTGCTGTCTTGAACCCTGGAGATTCAACTTCCAAAGTTCCTCATTAACCAGCCAATTCATTGTCACTGTGATCCCAGGACAGTGCAAGCTCTTAAGGTGAAGGCTGCACGAGAGAAATTCAAGATGGTTGATTTTCTGACTCCACGAGGCCAAGTGGACACCATTCGCTTTTCTGTGTCTGCGCAGACTCATGCCCATCTCTTAATTTTTCCATGGAATTGTAAGAGGCTCCAATGTCATGGCAAAACACTAGTGTGCAGATTTAATCTCAGTATATTTATTTAGATTTTACCCAATAATTGGAGATGGTGTTCCACATTAATATTAATTAAAATATTTTTCATTTTAATTTAATAAAATATTGATTTAAGGAGATCAATGTTTTCATGTGCCTATCCATTTCTTCCCTCTATTTTTCACTGCTACTGTATGAATTTTGTTAACCTACAACTGTCATGATATAGTAAAACCAACAGGAGACAAGAAGGCATTGTAAAGTCACTCCTTACCATCTTAGCTTCTTTTGCTTCAAACATGTAAAATAATAGAAAAGTATAAAAGACATAGAGGTATAAAAAGTTAAAAGCCAAGGGCTCAGGGGAGGTTTGTTATTGAGAAATTAGAGTAAACATGAAGTCTTGGACACTGCCTGGGACCTTAACTCTAGACTTAAAACAGTAGAAAGTTTCAAAAGAAGCCTCAAAGGCAAAACCAAATCAAGCTACCTGATGGACTGGTGGCTGGATTTTTTTATACTCTCAAAATCAGTGGGTAGCAGGAATTAGTTATTAGAGTGAATTCAAGGCTAGTTTTTGGTAAGGGCAGCTGTGAAGCTGTTGCATGATAAAACATGAGAAACGGAGGCAGGGAAAAAACATAGCAATTAAAATGAATCCACAATTCAAACTTCAAAACAACCTGGAAGAACTAGATGCCAAAAAGCTCAACCTATCAAACCAAGAATCAGATCATCAATCCACTCTAGGAGAAGATTTTACATTATTTATTTATTTTTTTAATTGGTGAAAAATTGTTTTACAGTGTTGTGTTGCTTTCTGCCATACAACAATGCGAATCAGTCATAATTATATATATCCCTTCCCTCTGACCCTCCTTCCTCTCCCCTCATCCCACCCTTCTAAGTCATCATTGGCTCCCTGTGTTGTTTAGCAACGTCCTCCTAACTATTTTGCACATGATAGTGTATATATGTCAATGCTACTTTCTAAATTCATCCCGCCCTCACCTTCCCCCACTGTGTCCACAAGCTCGCTCTCTACTAGGTTCATCACTACCATTTTTCTAGATTCCATATATATATGTTCATATACAGTATTTGTTTTTCTTTATCTGACTTTACTTCACTCTATCTGACAGGCTCTAGGTTCATCCACTTTTCTACAACTTTCAAATTCATTCTGTTTTATGGGTGAGTAATATTCCACTGTACAAACATAACACAACTTCTTTATCCATTCATCAGTTGATGGACATCTAAGTTGGTTCCATGTCCTAGCTACTGTAAATATTGCTACAATGAGTCTGGGGTACATGTACCTTTTAGAATTGTGGTTTTCTCAGAGTATATGCCCTGTAGTGGGATTGCTGAGTCATATGGTTGATTCACTCCTAGTTTTTAAAGGAATCGCCATACTGTTTCCCATAAGGGCTGTACAGGATAAGAATTTTTAAATAAATGTTTGCTTTTTACAGGGGACTTCTTTCACTCAGCATGCCTCTGAGAATTATACAAGTTGTTGAGAGTATCAATACTTAACTCCTTTTTATTGCTGCTTTCTATTATAATACAGCACATTATTTATGCATTATCCAGAGAAGTACATGTGGGTTTTTTTGTTTAGGCCAGTTATGAAAAGAGCCATTGTATTTATGAACAGTGTGGTGATATATTATTTCCTTTATATGGTATTATGAGAAATACAAAGCTGTAAGGATGCAGAAGAGATGAGTGGCTCATAGTGATTCATAAAGACAAAGGAATGTGTGATTACAGTGAAACACAAGGTAGTTTATCGATGAATGAAGTAACTGCCTTGTATTCTGAGTGTAGTGGTGGCTCTAAGGATTGATACATGAGCTGAAATATAAAGAGCGGTACAAGGACTTCCCTGGCGGTCCAGTAGCTAAGACTCCCTACTCCCAATGTAGGGGGCCCAGGTTTGATCGCTGCTCTGGGAACTAGATCCCACATGCCCCAACTAAGACCTGGCCCAGCCAAATAAATGAATAATTTTTTAAAATAAAAATTAAAAATAAGCATTTCCCTGGAGGTCCAGTGGTTAGGTAGTTAGGAATCTATCTTGTAATGCAGGGGACAAAGGCTTGATCCCTGGTTGGGAAACTACGATTCCAAATGCCTCAGAGCTCGTAAGTCCATGTACCACAACTGGAAAGTCTGTGTGCTACAACAAAAGATTCCACATGATGCAACTAACATCTGACACAGTCAAATAAATAAATAAATATTTTTTAAAGATCTCTTCAACTAACAGTGACAAACTTTTCACAAAGAAAAATTTCTAAATAAAAAAATAATTTATTAATTAAAAACAAAATAAAGAACAGTACACAAAAGTGCATTAAACTGTATGATATTTTAAAAATAAATTTTGGAAAGATTAAAACAGATAGTGGAGCAGTGGTAAAGAATGCAATTTCCAATGCAGGAGATGCAAGAGACACAGGTTTGACCCTTGGGTCAGGAAGATCCCCTGGTGTAGGAAAACTCTGAAACTCTGTATTCAGTTGGGTATAGCCAACTGAATATATATACCCACTTCAGCCTTCTTGCCTGGAAAATCCCATGGATAGAGGAGCCTGGTGGCTTACAGTCCTTGGGGGTCACAAAGAGTCACACACACACACACACACACACACACACACACACACAGATAGTACTCTTAAAGACGGAAAGAAACCTGTGCATTAGAAATTAAAATGAAATAAATATATTTATGTACACATCTTTATTCATAAGAGAACTATATACAATAGCCAAGAGGTGGGAGCTTCCTAAGTGTCCACCAGAGGATGAATTGATAAACAAAATGTGTTATATACATATGATGGAATATTATTCATCCTTAGCAACGGAGGAAAGCCTGCCGCATGCTACAACATGCATGGAACTTGAGAACATTAAACTAAGTGAAACAACCCAGTCAGAAAAAGACAAATTTCACTCATAAGAAGCATCTGAAATACCAAAATTCATAGAAAAGGAAAGTAAAACAGTGGTTACAGGGGCTAGGAAGATGAGGTAAAGGAGAGCTACTGTTTAAAGGAAACTGAATTTCAGATTTAAAATATTAAAAATTTCCTATACTGAACACTTTTAATTGTCAACTTAAAAATAATTAGGATGGTGTAATTTTATACAATGTGTATTTTAACACCAAAAGAAAGAAGAAAATTAGTATATGTAGACTGATAAAACAAATATTGAGAAATAGTAACTGCTGAATGTAAGCAGTTCATAAATGGTTTTTCATTGTCTCATTCTTTCAATTTTTGCTGTATTTTGTTTTTCACAACCAAAAATTGAAAAAGAAAAAAGGACATATATTGTATGAATTGTATGACATATATTGTAAGAATTTTCTAGATTAGAAACATTTATAGAGACAGAAAAAGGAACAGAGGTTGCCAGGAACTGAGGCATGGGGAGAGTCAGAGGTGATGAAAAGTAGGTGGAGGACTTCTTTGGTTGTGCAGTGGTTAAGAATCTGCCTTCCAATGCAGGGGACACAGGTTCCATTCCCGGTCTGGGAAGATCCCACATGCCATGGAACAACTAAGCCCGCATGCCACACCTACTGAAGCCCAAGTGCCTGGAGCCTGTGCTCTGCAACAAGAGAAGCTCTGTCAACAATGGAGAAACAGACATAGAGAACAGACGGATGGACACGGGGATGGGGAGGAGGGAGAGGGTGAGATGTATGGAGAGAGTAGCGTGGAAAGTTACACCACCATACGTAATACAGGGGAACAGAAACAGGGCTCGGTGACAATCTGGAAGGGTGGGATGGGGAGGGAGGGGAACATTGGTGTACCTGTGGCTGATTCTTGTTGACGTTTGAGAGAAAGCAACAAAATTCTGTAGAGCAATTATCCTTAAATAAAAAAAATAAAAATAAAAAACATGCCAGAGGAAAAAGAGAGAGAGAGAAAGAAGCCATTGCAATGAGGAGCATGAGCACCACAGGGAAAAGCAGCCTCCACTCACCGCAACCTGAGAAAGCCCACACAGCAACCAAGACCCAGCACAGCCAGAAGATAAAATATAGGTGGAAACAGAATGTGGTGATGACTGCACAGCAGTGTGAATGCAAATACGACTCAAAATGCCACACTCGAAACACATTACAATTGCAATTCTTACGTTTTACATTTTACCGCAGTTTTAAAAAGTAAAACGAGAATACAGTAGGCATATTATTTCATTTATAGAACTTCAATACCAACTTTATCCAACTGAAGGTAACATGACGCCATGGAAATAGCGGCTAAAAATAGACCCTCAATTAACAACAGACCCAGAGAAAGACAGCCGGTTGTCTTGGCTTCTGGGAATCACCTCTAGATATGATGCCTCCATCTAATGCAGCCGTATGAACCCATGAGGGGAATCAGCCGTAGCATGAAGCCTCTCCATGGAGGAATGAATGAATCTCTACTCTCTTGTGCCTGCACATTTTCTGCCTCTGAAATTCCTGTAATGAGGATAACTATCTTTATTGTTTGAACATATTAGAGCAAGGATGTATATGCTGTGTGCTAAGTTGATTCAGTCATGTCCGACTCTGTGCGACCCTATGGACTAGAGCCTGCCGTTAGAAAGTCTTCCTCACTAATCAAGTTCAAATACCTCACAATCTTTTCAAATGAGTGAGATAATCTAATCATGGTAACTTTACAGATGATGAAACTGAATATTGTGGATGCAGATATCAGCTTACACATGTCCCATTTACCAGGGAACAACACCAGGAACTCCTGAATTGGGGTGTGAAAGATCAGCCAGCGTGTGTCATAATGTGTCAGCATGTGTCATGTGCCTTAACTCTAGAGTTCAGTTCACATGGTGCTATCCAGGGAGTCAGGCAGAATCTATCTTTGCATGACCACAAACTTATTTAAATCCTTTCCTTCACCTTCTCTGATATCCTTTATGCTGAGAACATTCCCCAGCAAAATTACTATACCAGAAACCTCTGCCTCCGACTCAGCTTTTCTTGGCCCTAACCAAAAACCTTATCTTAGAGAACTGAGATTTTGTGTCAAACATCACAGAGCTAGACAAAGAATAAGTTGGGTTTAAACCCTAAATTAAAATGCACTTAGGCATCATGTTATGTTATCATTTAATAACCTGGTGATGAAAGAGTCAGGCAGTCTAGCTCATCAGTAACTTCTAATTTGGCCTTATTCTAGTAGCCTTATCTCAAATTCAATGACACATCAGAGAAAAGAAAGGACGCCATCAATGAGTTTTCTCAAAGCTCCTTTCATGTCTCTGTTCCTCAGGCTATAGATGAAGGGGTTCATCATGGGAGTGACTGCAGTGTACATCAATGAAGTCACTGCAGTTTTCTCAGAGGATTCAGAAATGGCAGAACAAATATACAGTCCAAAACCTGTTCCATAAAACAAGGTAACAACTGAGAGGTGAGACCCACAGGTAGAAAAAGCTTTATACTTTCTGCCTGATGGTGGCATCCTCAAAATAGAGGAAACAATTTGAGTATAAGAGAAAAGGATTCCAGAAAGAGGAATGCCACCTAATATGCTAACTGCAAAATACAGAACAATATGATTAATGAGGGTGTCAGAGCAGGCAAGCTTGATGACCTGAACAGCTTCACAGAAGAAGAGGGAGATTTCCAATTCTGTGCAGAAGGACAGTCGCAATACCATCAGACTGTGGAGCAGGGCGTCCACAATGCTGATGGATAATGAGATGAGAATCAGCACAGCACAGAGGTGGGGGTTCATGATGACAGTGTATCTCAGGGGGTGACAAATGGCCACATAGCGGTCGTAGGCCATTGCTCCAAGGAGAAAATTTTCGCAACTAACAAAAATCAGGACAAAGCAGATCTGGGTGAGACAGCCTGTGTAAGTGATGCTCTGATTCTGTGTCTGGACATTCACTAGAATCTTTGGGATCATGGTGGTGCTTAAACAGATATCAGTAAAGGACAGATTGGAGAGGAAGAAGTACATGGGGGTGTGGAGGTGGGAGTCACAGGTGACAGCCAGGATGATGAGCAGGTTTCCCAGGACAGTGACCAGGTACATGGACAGGAACAGGCTGAAGAAAATGGTCTTCAGTTCTGGGTCCTCTGTCAGTTTCATGAGAAGGAATCCTGAAACATCTGTGTGATTTCTGGATTCCATGTTGTTGATGATCTGATGAAAAAGATGTGGTTAAAAAAGACATGGAAATCTGTGGTCCCTAGATGAGCATCAGGAGTATCATAAGAGATCCACACCATCTTGGGCAGAGAAGGAGATTAATGAAGGGAAGGGGAAAGTAATGCCTTCTGCATGCATATTTTTCTGTTCTTAAAGAAAATACCCAAAGTTGGTATTTCAGAGCATGAGCAGTTAATTCTAGAAAGAATAAAGACATGGTTCTTTTATAAACTATCTGTACTCTTCTGATTATTTGAGACATTAGGGGACATCCCTGATGGTCCAGTAGCTAAGACACTGTGTTCCCAATGTAGAAAGCCTGGGTTTGATCCCTGATCAGGGAACTAGATTCCATATGCTACAATTAAGACCTGGTGCAGCCAAATTTAAAAAAAAAAAGTAATTTTATAAAGAGAAACAGATGAGGGAGGCCATTGAATATTCTGTCCAAATCCCCAGTGACCTCAGGACAAGGGAGAAGAAATAATACATAGATATGTCAAGAACCAAGAATGGAAAGATAAGATGAAGCTTATCAACTTTTTTCCCCTCCCCTACAATGACAGATGCACAAAGAAATGTTGGACAATTCTTTAAAAGTCACCCTGTATCTGAACAGGAAGATTTGTAATCAGAAGGAAGTGCAAGGTCATATAGAGAGTTTCATATTAGTAAATCAAAGATGCTTACAAATATTGGTGCAAAATATAATTTAAAAAAGGTAAAAATGTCATATGTTAGGCAGAGAGACCAGGTTCTAATCATCTGATGCATATATTGTTTTCACAGCTTCCCCTGTATGAACCTGTACCAAAACACCAAATATTCACTAAAGATAGGTTACCTGGCTGGTATCACAGTGGAAAGATGCTTGACATCTCTTATGTACCATACAGAACAGCTGTCCTTAGGAAGAACAGAAGGTCTGAGTGAGTCACCAGCTCCTGGGCAGGAGGGATAATTTATGGGAAGAGTCTCAGGTGTGCTACTACTTTCCTAGAAAAGGTATAGTTGATTGAGGTAGTCACAGGCAGATCACAGTCTTGAACCCTGGAGATTCAATTTCCAAAGCTCCTCATTAGCCAGGTAATTCATTGTCACTGTGATCCCAGGACAGTGCAAATCCTTAAGATCAAGACTCTACATAGGAAAAATTCAAGATAGTTGCTTTTCTGACCCCATGAGGCCAAGTGGACTTTTCTGCATGTGTACCAGCTCATGTTCATCTCTTAACTTTTCATAAAGCTGTAAGGGGTTACAATGCCATCCCAAGACAACAGTGGTCAAGCATAATCTCAGTACATTTAATCTATTATCTAACAGGTTGGCATGGTACTCCTTTCATCTGTTTGTCAATTAACTCCTTTCACTGTTCACTGCTACTGTATGAACTTGTGAACATACAAGTTTCTTGATGTTTTAAAACCAACATGAGACAGGCTAGCCTTGTATTGTCATCCCTTACTATCTTAACCTCATTTGCTTTGAACACATAAAATAATAGAAAATACAGAAGACTTAGAAATACTGAATTTAAAAAGCCAAAGACATTTGTGGAGGTTTGTTACTGAGAAATGGGAGTGAACACAAGAGTTGGGGACTCTTTCTAGGACTACAACTTTGGACTTAGAACAGCAGAAAATTTCAAAAGAAGCCCCCAGGGCAGAACTGAATCAAGTTAGTCAGTGGTTTGGTAGCTGAATTTGATGATATTCAAATCACTGAGTATCAGGGACTAGTTATCAGTCTGAATTCAAGGCTAGAGGGCTGGTAATTGCCAAGGGCAACTGTGAATCTATTAGGTGATCATGTATGAATACAAAAACCTAGCAAGTAAAATGAATCTACAATTCAAATTTTAAATACCAGGAAGAACAAGACTCTAAAATGTTTAAACTACCAAGCCAAGAATCAGATAATTGATTTGCTCCAGGATAAGATTTTTTAAATAAACATTTGATTTTTGCATGGGGCTTCTTTCACTCAGCATAATGCCACTGAGAATCATCCAAGTTGCTGCCTGTCTCAGTTATTCATTCTTCTTTACTGATGTTTCTATTATAATGATATAACCACAGTTTACTTATGCATATCCACAGAAGTACATGTGAGTTGATTTTGTCTTGGGCAATTTTGAGTAGAACTACTCCAAGTACTCATGCACAGGTTGAGGTGATGTATGATTTCATTTATATGATATCATGAAAAGCACAAAAAAGTCAGGCTAAAAAGCAGATTAGTGGCTCACAGTGGTTCACAAACACAGAGGACCGTGTGCCTACCGTCTAGTCCAAGGCAATTTGTTGTCAGATGATGTAACTGCTCTGTATATTGACTGTGGTGGTGGTTGTAAGAATCAAAGAATGTCTTGTAATACAGAGAGAAGCACACAAAAAGGGCATTTTGCTGTATGATCATTTTAAAAATAAATTTTTGAAAGATTAAATTGTGAGTATAGATAGCACTTTCAAAGAGAGACAGGAAAGTGTGTAGCTAAAAAAACAATTCTAGGGAATTCCCTGGTGGTCCAGTGGTTAGGACTCTGAGCTTTGACTGTGGGGGGCCTGGATTTGATCCTTGATCAGGGAACAAAGATCCTACAAGCCAAGCAGTGCAGCCAAAAATAATGATAATAACAATTCTAAAAACAAATTTAATAAAACATTTTATATGTTTACATACCTTTATTCATAGTAACACGATTTACAATAACCAAGAGGTAGAGCAGTGTCCATCCAAGTGTCCATCAAAGGATGAATAGATAAACAAAACGTATTATATACATACAATGGAATTACTTTCCCCATATCAGGAATTAGTTAAGGAGGTGACTTATGATCATAGTCTCAGTGATAAGATAGAAGGTAATATCTTGTGGGGGTTTCCCCAGTGGCTCAGCAGCAAATAATCTGCCTGCAATGCAGGAGAAGCAGGAGATTTGAGTTTGATCCCTGGTTGGGAAGATCCCCTGGAAGAGAGCATAGCAATCCACTCCAGTATCCTTCCCTGGAGAATCCCATGGACAGAGGAGCTCGGTGGCTACAGTCCATAGGGTCACCAAGAGTCGGACACGACTGAAGCAACTTAGCACGCACGCATAACCTTGTGGAAGATGCCATGTAAGTATCTATTATAAATAAAGCCTCAGTCAACAACAGACTCGGGGAAGGACAGTCGGGGTTTTTCCTCTGGGAACCATACCTAGATATGATGCCTGCATCTGATGCAGGCATCTGGGCCCATGAGGGGAATCAACCCTAGCATGAAGCCACTTCATGAAGGAATGAATGAATCTCTACTTTTCTGCTCCTGCACATTTTCTGCCTGTGAAGTTTTTGTCTTGAGAGATAACTATCTTTATAGTTTGGGCATGTTAGAGTCAGTATTTCTTTCCCTTATTTAAAGAAAGGCTTTAAATAACTTGAACAGATCAAGTTCAAAACCTCACCGTCATTTCAAACTACTGAGATAAGCTAACCATAGCAATTTTTTACAACTGATGAAGCTGAATATTCTGGATGTATATATTGGATCACACATGTCCAATATACCAGTACAGTCTCAGGAACTCCTGAACTGGGGTATAAAAGAACAGCCACTATGCCTCACAGTAGGCTTACATCTAAGGTTCAATTCGTATGGTGCTGTCCATGGAATCAGGCAGGATACATCTCTGCATGACCACAGATTTAAGTCCTTTCCCACTTTCTATAATAAAGATAAATTAATATTTTCCCCACTTTCTTTGTGCTGAGAACATTCCCCATGAAATGACCATACCAAGAATATCTGCCTCAGATTCAGCTTCCATGTACCCTAACTGGAGAAATTTATCTTAGAGAATAGAAATCATCTGTTAAAAATCCCAGTGCTACATTTAGAGAATAAACTTATGGTTGCTGGGGAAAGGATGGGGAGAAGGGATAGTTAGGGAGTTTGGGATGGACATGTACACACTGCTATATTTAAAATGGGTAACCAACAAGGACCTGCTGTATAGCACATGGAACTCTCCTTATTTATGTGGCAGCCTGGATGGGAAGGAAGTATGGGGGAGAATGGATACATGTATATGTATGGCTGAGTCCCTTCGCTGTAAACTATCACAACACTGTTAATCAGCTATACTGAAATACAAAATAAATTTTTAAAAAATCAGTGCTAAAAAAAAAAAGAGCAAGTCAGGTATTAACCCTAAGTTAAAATGCACTTAGCTATCGTATTATCTATTCATTTAAGAACCTGGTGATGAAAAAGTCAGGCTTTCTATCTCACTAGCATTCCCTTTACTTTGATTCATTGCAGTGAACCCATCCTAAACCCAGTGACCCATCACAGAAAAGAAGGTACCCTACCAATGAGTTTCCTCAAAGCTCCCTTCATGTCTGTGTTCCTCAGGCTGTAGATGAAGGGGTTCATCACGGGAGTGACCACAGTGTACATCAACGAAGCCACTGCAGTCTTCCTGGAAGAATCAGTAACTGCAGAACTAATATACACCCCAAAAGCTGTCCCATAGAACAAGGTAACAACTGAGAGGTGAGACCCACAGGTAGAAAAAGCTTTATACTTTCTGCCTGATGATGACATTTTCAAAATGGAGGAAACAATTTGAATATAAGAGAAAATGATTCCAAAAAGAGGAACACCAGCAAATAAGCTAGCCACAAAATATATCAGGATGTTATTGATGAGGGTATCAGAACAAGCAAGTTTGATGACCTGAACAACTTCACAGAAGAAGAGGGGGATTTCCAGGTCTGTGCAGAAGGACAGTCGCAACACCATCAGACTGTGGAGCAGGGCGTCTGCAACGCTGATGAACAAGGAGAGTAGAATCAGCTGAATACAGAGGTGAGGGTTCATGATGACTGTGTACCTCAGTGGGTGACAAATAGCCACATAGCGGTCATAGGCCATTACTAAAAGGAGAAAATTTTCCCAACAGACAAAAGTCAGGGCAAAGCAGATCTGGGTGATGC